GAATTGTACTTATTAATTTGATTTATAAAGCACTGATCATTTTGGATTATGGCAATATTGGATTTGGAGATTGCAGTGTAAAAAATGTGTGTCCTTTATTGCTCTTTTCATTATGAGGGAACAAATCATTGACCTACCTGAGTAAATGTACAATGTTCAAAAAGGGCAAAATGAGAGATGGTTAAAAAGTGGTTACTAGGTCAGGTGCAGCAGATGGGCAGATGGCTGGAGAGAACATGGAGGATGAATAATGAAGCAGGGTTGATTTCCTCCTGTTGCCTCAGCTGATCAAAGATCTAACATATTGGATTCGACAAAGAAAGGCTGTCAATGAAGAAGGGAAAGGCAAGAGAGGAGAAAATTGGAAAATGTGGCAGAAAGCTAAGACTGCAGCCGCTGAAATGAGGAGGTGAGAAGTAGTGAAGATGGTATTGAACATGGACAGCATTGAACATGGTGGTAAAAGACTGGATCTAATTTAGTTAGTAACAGGTTAGAAAGAATCTGTAAAGTTTTGGAATAGCAGTAATGTGCAAATGTCTGATATTAGCTCAAAGTAATGAAATGTGTAGGTGTATTGATTTAAACTTTTTATACCTACAGAAAAATTGGTTGCACAATTCTGTGTGAAAACCAGCTGTAGTAAGATTTATGTAAAACAATTACAGCTGAGGACAACTTTATTTTTATAGAACATATAATGTCATCATTCAACATGTGGTCTGTTTAGGTTAGATTAGTGACAGCTCAGTGATGGAAGGAGACACAGAATATGAAACAGCAGGTGGTTGTGGTGGTGAGACAGAAAAGCATTTAAAATTGTGTCAAGGGAAAATCTTGGTTCTCCTTTCATCCATTTCCAACCTGTTTTCACATGATTGCAAATTTCATTTTAGATTCATCTCACTCATTGTGAGATTTAGGACTAAATGATAAGCAATGAGAAGTAATTGCTGCAATTCCACTTATTTATGAACTCAACTATAGACTAATATGTAAAATTTATAGAACATTTCTTTAACATACCTTATCAACAGCTATATATAACAATTATACAATTATTTATTTTTTATTTTATTTTTTTGCAACTGGCATTTTAGTGTGTCTTATTCTGCTGTCAAAATGAAGACTCTACTAAGACACCATTTGTGGAGGTAAAAATGATAACTTCTGACATTCATATAGTCCACTTTTTATTCCCAACAGTGAAAAGGTGACAGATATGAACCGACAGGAGCGAATGGAAAAGCGAGAATGTTTGTGGGTTGACTGGTTTAGAAGGGACAGCGAATCAGAGTGTCAAAGAAGTGTGAGAATAACAATAGGAGGAAGTCGGGAAAATGACAAAACTTTCTATCTATGCTGATTTTTATAGATTTTTTTCACAATTAAACTTGAAAAAGCTTCAGGTGTAGCTATGTATATTTTGCATTTTACATTCTCAATAAAATCATACAGCCACATTTTCAATTTGATGGTTGCAGTGTCAAGTTGAAACAATTGTGAGTCTAAACCAGGACAGAAAACTACTCTAAAATTGAACTAAACTAAATGTAACTAAACCAATCTCTCTAAACAAGGACTAAAATGGTAAAGGCAGTGTAATTTCAATAGAAAGCACTGCTATGGGGAAAGTTGTTGAGAGCGAGTGGGAAAAATTGTGGCGAAGGACAGTTGATTAAAGCCAGCAGCTTCAATAATGCAAATGTAATTACTGGCAGTGAGCCGCACACTTGCATAGCACCTAACCGCATTAACACTGGGCTGACAGAGGCAGAGACAGCCAACAACAGAGCCAAAGGGCTGCAAACTCTGGTAGGAAAAAGGCAATAAACCACATTGTATTTCTGGCAAACAAGAGTCTAAATTGATGTGATCTAAAGAAACAGCTAATTGGACAAGAGCGCAGTTTGAAATTTATGGTTTCCAATTTGTTTGAGTAATGGAAGGGTCACTTGGAGGATTGGGTCAAGAGTCAATAGATGTTTCTGATTTGGCGCAACACAATCTACAAAATTGTTACAGCAGTGATGCATTCTTAATCAACAAAGTGTGATATTTTATTTGACTTAATATTATGGCCAAAAGAACTGGAGGTGCAACATGTAACTTTTCTGATGGAGTCTGCCACCTTCTTTGTCTTGAGGATGTTTTTGCATTGCCTGGAATGTTCCACAGAACAACATTAAATGCATCTATTTTGTATTTATTCAAATAAAAATATGAATGTAATAAAAATACCTTGAAAAATCTTGAATAATCACACCCTTGACACCCGTGGATCATTCTTATAATTTGCATATTTTATATCTCAAACAACAACAAAAAAATGAACATAGTAAGTACAGAGCAGTGCGCATATACTGGGGGCAGTGAAAATAGGGGTTGATTGTCAATATGCAGTTTTGAAAAGAACCATTTAATTCAAATTAATTTTAAAAATAAATTTAAAAATAATATATATACATGAAAAGCATTTTATTAAATCATGTAATTACACTTGCACTATTGGCAACCACTTTTAGCTGGTTTCATTGAAGTTTTCGGCCTTGACATTTTACAAAGTTGTGTCGTATTGTGTATGTAGGGACCTTGCGGGGTCGTGACAACCCCAACAGCAGCTGAATATGATGATAGGACTGGACAGGGGTTGACTTGGGCAGAATACAATCCGAGAGCGAACAACACATAAGCATTTTAGGGACTTTGTGTGTGTAATCACCTAAACGCACACACAACAAGGATTAAGTTTCCTTGAGGGGTCATTTCAGAGTGGCTTCAGAAGAGCTGAGGTGGCAAACTGTAGCCAACAGATGGAGAGAGTGGCAGAGAAAATGAGAAGGAGAAAGGGGGAGAAAAAGAGTGGGGGAGAGAAGTCATTTAGCAGTAAACACACCAGGTTTGTCCTTCAGGATCAGCACAACCAGGAGGGCACCGAGTCTACACTGAGACTGTGTCCTGGGTCATAGGACAGTAGAAAATTCAGCACATAGCTCAATCCAAAAGAAATATCCTCTTTCACATTTTTACAATTTTGACAACCCTAACTTAGATGTACTTTACATACTATGTATGCTGTATATTCATAAAATCGTAAACTTAATATGACAGAAAAAAAAAAAAAAACACAAGCATTAAAAAAAACACAAGCATTATTTAATAACTATGATCTTAACCATAAAGAACAAATGGTATATTAAAAAAATATTCAGGTTCAGTCACTATTTAATTTTAAGCCCTCACCCTAACTCCCAACCCAAACCCTGTAAGTAGTTACACTTGAATCATTATTTGTTCATGCATTATTAAGGCTAATTAAAGTGTAGCTATTATAAAGTTGTGTAAATACTGCCTTTAGTTTCTCAGTACAGCTTTTTTTTTGCTCTCTGTCCTTTCCTTGAAATTCACTGACATATAGTTTAAAGAGGTGTGCTCAAAAGATCATGTCATGTTATGTCTCAAGTCCTTGACCTAAAACTTTGACCGGCTTCATGTTGAGAGAGCTTCATTGTTTCATTCATTCGGCTCTATTCATGTTGAGGGTCTAATCCACACAGACCGACTTCACTGTTGTGTTAGTTACTTCATTTTTCTCTGTTTCTGGTCTTAAGATTAGCTTTGTGCAAGGTGTGAAATGGGTCTGCCAAACACTTGAGATACAAAAAGGCTACATCTGAAATTAAATTATCAGGGTGTAAGTGTGAAATGCAAGGCTTTCTGAATAATACAAGCGTGACACAGTTTCGGACCAAATGGAACTGAAACACTGGTGTGAGACAAATTTAATTGGTTTTCCTCAACAGGACATCAATTTCGCAGCTTGTCCCAAAAATTATAAAGGAATTGAGCAAATATCCCTTTACTAAATAACTCTGTCCACTCATTTGAGATGTTCTAATTGGAACCTTGCGATTCAATAAGCATCCCAATACACGGTCCATCATGGAATTAGGGGTGTGCAAAAATATTGGTATCATGAGACTAAATTTGGTGATATAGTATCGTTATTGTGGGCTGCTGTTTCGATGTATCGTGAAGAGTATTTTTGGTGTCTTTTAGAATTTTTTTGTGTGACTGCACTACAATTTTTTGGCTTATTTAAAGAAAGGGAACTTGTCTAATACACTTGGTATATGTTATTAGTTTTTTTGTTTGTTTTTTTTCAGACCAAATGTTTGTTTTCGTACCTGTCAGTTGCTCACTCGCGGTCTTCCTCAGCGTGGTCATGTGATGTTGCTGTGATGTGTCTGGTCAGCTGATTTATACAGGTTTTGGCGCCATTTTCCTACCGGTAGTCGGGGACCACTCTGAGGAAGGCCGCTAGTGAGCAGTCGAAACCTAATAACATAAATTTTCGGAAAACTAAATTAACCTCATTGGATGAATACACTTCATATATTCACTGCTATGGTGACTGAAATAGCTTCATTTCATATTGTACTTTGTACAAGTAGTGTTTTAACAAAGAAATATTGTTGCAAAAATGTATTTTGTTCTTAAAAAAGTAATATATCACAGCAAATCATGTGCAATATATCTATTATCACCATACCGTAATAATACTGTATTTTGAATGTATCATATATCACATTGAATCATGAGGGACCCTGTGATGCTCAGCCCTAGATACACTAATTATACCAATGCATGTCCTTAGAAAGGTTCTTAAAAGTTTACTAAATTAATGTTTTTATTGTGCTGAATGACAAAATGCTTTGGAATTTCTTGTCCACAATCTATTAACAATCTCTTAAACACTAAATCAGCAAACTGATATGGTTCTTGCTGTTGTGGCCACTGTATTTGCCAATGTTAAATTAAATGTTATTGTTCCACAAAGGGAAATTTGTCTTGGAGGTGAAGTGCATATAGGTGCATAAACAACACAAACAAATGTCTATCACTATTGTAGAAGTCCATCCTTAGCCAAGTCTGTAGTGAAATTGTTGCTGTTCTATTTTAGGTAGACTTTAACTTATGCTTTTAATTCTTGTTTCCAGGACAACTACACATTTGCACAGCCAGGGATCCAGAGGAAAGTCAAGGCGTTGGAGGAGTTGGTCAGCAGGATCGATGGTGAGCTATTGTTCTGGCTTCTACAAAATACACTGACATTGCACACATCCTTAGCAATCATAAGTAATATAACAACCAAGACCAAGTCTAATGGTCAGGGAATTCACTTTAAGAAGGGTCAATTTGAAGCCGAATGACCATTCCCATTCCAAAAACTATTTCTGAACTTTGCCTAAAATTAATGGTAGTAAAAAAAATATGCAGTGTTCATTGCCTAATGAGTATACAAGGCAAGTGATTATAGTCTGTTAAAAGGCAGTTTTTTGTTGCTAATTGTTGTGTTGACTATGAACAACATTGCATATAGATTATATCAGGGGTGGGCAAACTACGGCCTGGGGGCCGTATGCGGCCCTTTAAACCTTTTAATCTGTCCCGCCGAACTTGAATAAATTATAATAATAAACCTTGTTAATGTTTTATTTTTCCTGCATTTCTGGTGTTTCCCAGTAGATGGCGCACTATATATAGATTGAGGTGGGGCATATTATATTGGCTGCAGTGCTTTATGGGAAAGTGTTCTTTCGGACTAGCTAATGACAGGAGTCATTTTCGGTCGGTGTATTCGGACCATGAGTGAAGCAGAGGTGTTCAAGACATAAGGCTGCACTGTTTGTAGTTTGAACAGGTTGTAACCAAAGTCAAAAGACTCACAGATGTCATGTTATGAAGTCTTTACTCGTGAAGCATCTTAACATGTGACGGGGCGTGTTTTTGGTTGGAGGTTTGGTTGGGCTTGTTAACATTTGGTTGGGCCCAGGCGCGTAGAGGAGTGTGTTGCAATCGCGCAATTTGGTCATTGGAAATTCCAGTTTAGGGAGGTAGGCTGAAGAAAATATGGTGACGGCTACAACTAGATGGCGCCCCAGAAAGTATTTCGGAAGCATTTGTCTTTTGGACGCATTCGCACTCAACTTTATATTGCAGTAACTGGTATAGTGCGTATGCATGTACCATGATCAAATATAACACGCTTGCAGACTGGCACGCTGTCACTGTTCCGTCCTTGCGTTGGTCGTTGTTGAATTTTGGCTCTGAGGACGCACGTTGAATAGAAGTAGATCTGCATCTTGTACCAGGAGAAGAGTGATAGTGATAATATCCTGAAGGAGAACAGAACTTTCAGTGCTTTAAAATAGAAACTGTTAGTAATAAAAAAAAAAATGATAATAATTTTTTTAAAAAGAAGCAAATTTTATTAATTTAATTTTCAGTGTTTTAGAAAGACAGATATTTTGTTGTAATGCTTTGTAATGACTTTCAATTGAAATTCAAGCACAGGTTTTCTACATATCCCATGTTTTTTTTTTTTCTCAACTCCATCCATCTGCTCCTGTTCAGCCCTTCCGTCAAATTTTAGAACCCTTTGTGGCCCCCGAGCCAAAAAGTTTGCCCACCCCTGGATTATATAAATAAACATTTGAGATGTGATATACAGACATACACAGTTATACTTCATACAACCAGAACGTACTTGGACTGTGCTCAAATCTCCCTTTATGCAACATTTACACTCAACTGAACTTTACTTCTGCAGAGTAACTTTACTGGGTTTCTGAACTTTCTCTGAGCTCATAAAAGTCTTTCCCCTCTGCTGTGTAAGTATCAGAAAAAAAGTGTATATTCTGAATGGAGGGATCTGAAAATGTGATTTTTGCACACTTATGCATGTATGAATATTTCATGGCTGCGATTCATTGCATTCTCTCATTGTTCGCTGCAGTGGGTCTTCTTTTTCCTCTTTCAAAATATTGAACTTGTATTTTTTTATACTTCCCTTTATTACACTGACTGGGTCTTGAGATGTCTAGCTATAAAATGCTGTCTGGCCACCACTGTTTTGATTAGTTCTCTGACACTGAAAACAAAAGAACTCACCAAACAAAAGCCATTCAGTTGAGGAATCTTCCCTTAACTTTGACTCCGTGCACTGTTAGCTTAGCGCTGGCTTTGATTGCTTTAACTGTGATGTCAGGCTGAGTACACGGCAGGATGTAGCATTTGTTTTTCCGACTCTGTTCTTTCGAGGGTTTTGACATGACACCACCAGCGCGTCTGGCTAATTCTCATTCGGCTCCACTGTCTGCAGAGGAATGTTTACGTGGTGTTGATTATTAGTATGACACAAGGGCCGTCTAGGGCTCAGAGTTAATATATGCAAACACAGTGCAATCACATGCACACGCTTACACACACTATCTGTTAATTATCAGCTCTGCCTTAATATATTCCTCAGATATGTTAGATGTGATTATTAGTTTGACTCTTATCGTACAACCCTATTTGAGGCTGATCTATTAAATGACTGATTGAAATTCACTTTTCATTCATTTTTAAATGTTATTCATATCACGGCTATAATACGAGACTGGCTGTAGGATCTTTTCATAGTTCAATTGGTGAATATTTATAGTATAGTAACTGAATTCATTATCATAGATTCCTAAACGTCCTGATGGTATGCATTAATTTAGCTTTTTAAAACATTATAATTGGTATTTCTGTAGTATTCAAAAAAATATGTGCCTCAATGGCCTAACAGTTGTCTACAAAACATCAGCAAAGGAGACTTGGTGTTCATCTCCTAGCAATAGTGAAGTAGTTTAATTTAATAAACTATTCATCATTGCTTACCCTTGTGACAGAGTAAGTAAGAAAAACTACAAGAAGTAATGTTCACATGAGGAGCAGTTCATTGTTTTTCATCATGATTACAATTAATAAATACATTATTAGTCAATATTTCTATTCTTAATGTAATTTGTGGGTATTTATTTTGACACAAAAATAGGATAACTTGTGAGTCCATTAATAATTCTTGTAGATGATTATGATTTCAAATATCATTCCAATAATAATAACTCCCATATACTGGAATTTAGCACAGTATATTTAATGTCCAGTCCTTATGTACAAGGCTTTTCCTTCATCTCCTCCCTACTTTGTAAATGCGACACATTTATTCTGCATTTGTCCAACAACTTTCAGTGATAAACAAGCACTTATCATAGCAGGTTTTGTCGAGTGGTTGTGTTTGGGTCTAACCTTGGTGCTGCCGGGCCGTCCTGTCACCCGCTCAGTCAGCCAGAGGGAGGGAGCTGCCCCCTGCATTCAAATGGACACAAGTAGCAGCTCATACACCACTGAATGTCAGCCAAAGTCATGTGTATGTGATCAAGTCAAACTCATAGTGGCGATGGTACATGCACTGTGTGTCTGGGAGCGTGCTCGGAGTGACAATGTTGCTGTTAATGCTTCAGGCTGTGTACTTAGTATGTTGATGCGCTTAAACAGGCAGGTCTGTACTGTACATAAATTTTAAATGAGCCCCAAAAGATGAGAGCGAGAGATACCTTATTGATCCCAAGGGAAATTCAACTTACAACTTTGCTGAAATAAACATGCTCAAACTCGTAATATTTATAGTAAAAGTGTAAAATATGATGCGTGTGTGTGTATATATATATATGTGTGTGTGTGTGTGTGTGTGTGTGTGTGTGTGTGTGTGTGTGTGTGTGTGTGTGTGTGTGTGTTGTATATATATATATATATATATATATATATATATATATATATATAAATAAAATGTTCTGCTTATTTTCCCTTTTAAATCTTTTTTGTATATATAAAGAAGTGGCTTATACAACGATGCAGCTAATATATTGAAGGACTATTTGTTTATCAACACAGCGGATGCACGCAGCCTGAGTGCAGAAAGAGCCGCTGTCTGTGCGGTTCACATGAAGTTGCAACACTAGCTAGCAATGTTGTCAGGGCAATAAAACAGTTTATCGTTGTGTGATAAAATAAGTTATGAAGCTAAATTAACATTAGAGAGTGGAATACAACTCAATGCCCTATATTCGTTAAATGCAAGGGTGCGTAAATGACGAGAAGAAATGTCTCAAACTTCAGTAGCCGGAAATCCACTCATACCTGATCAGTACAACTAGCCCCGCCCCCGGGAGAGCCTGAAATCTTCTGAAATCCTACAAGACACTGACATGATACCAGACAGGACAGCGGCTCTTTAGAGCTCAAAATGATGATGTCTGATAATCCTGTCGTAATACTGATGTTTTACTGCTATGTTACAGGTACTATTTGGAAAAAACATGTACCAGTATTTAATTTTTTAAAAATTTAAATCTTTCTGTGTACCATCTTTCTGTATAAAAATCTCAAGTTACAACGTGGACACCTACTGCTTATAGGGAAATGCGGCCTTTTCTGTACTTTTTTTTTTCTTATATTCAGGTGCGCCTAGTAGTCCGGAAATTATGGTAGTTTAAAACAGTCCTGTTATGTAAAAAAAAAATTTATAAATGTACACCACTTATTAAATTCAATAATTCATATTTCTTCCCCAAAAAGAAGCCATAAAACTCTGACTGTGGATTTAGATAGTCCTGTCGTATAGCAGTTTGGGGCAGAGCCATTTCGGAGCATTACCACCTCCATAATGAGATCACACATCGCTTTTATCTTGTGTTACTGGATTGTTTTCCGCTCTGCTGTCGACATACCATCTGTTTTGGGGACAATGGCCTATCTGCTGCCTTGAATTACCTATCATCTCTTATCATATGGCCGATTATTGCATATTTTCCTCTAAAGACTGTAGTTTTGTCTTTGTGTTGGTCGGTTTCTGAGACAATATTACTTTTCGCACTGTAGATCTCAAATTGAGCAATGACTTTTATGAGAGTTTTTACTGTTTAGAAAGGGTTTCTTTCAAAACACTAATGTTTTATTCAGGCTTATCTATCTATCCTGGAAGTTAGCCTATATCCTAAAGCTCATTAATTTCAACAGTTTTCTAAGCTTATGGTAGCAAAGAGCATTTATTTTACACAGTTAAAAGTATACACATTTCTCAAAGTAGCAGAAAGCAGTGCTTTGTCTTGGCCTTGTATCGGTCTGTGTATCTGACGTTAGGACTTTACTGGTAAAGACTGAGGCGGACAGCACTATTTGTTAAGACAACAGGGTGCTGAGGC